AGGGAGTCTCTGTGCCTGGAGGCTTTCAAGGCATGACTGTACAAAATGCAGAGCAACCTGGTGCGAATTCAGCGTTGACCCTGCTGTGAGCGGGAGGCTGGAGGAGAAATCTTCTGGGGTCCTTCCAGCCTGGGTGACTCTTTGAGGCTTGGAGGGGGATCCTGCCAGGATAAGCAGAAAGCTTGTATTTACCAGCTGCATGGAGATGTAAAAGACAGATATCCTCACCCTTGCTAAAAGCACAGGTGCTAAGAATAAAGCTTTGCTTCTGATGTCAAGGAGCGACTTGTCAAGATGGCAGTGCAAACTGCCTGAGGCAGAGTTTGGCCCCCAGCGAAGTTCCTACTGCATTGCAGACGATGTCCTTTAGTGCCATCTCCTGGGGAAAAAAAGCAGATTTCCAGCCTTGTCCGCCTGCCTGGTGATTCCGTTTCATCTCCTGCAGGGATTTCCTGCCCTCCCCTAGGCTGGCCTCCTGGTTTGTCCAGACCCACCTGCAGGATTTTGGGTCCCAACTGCGTAACGTTGTGTGTGTCCCTGCATACCAGTATTTTCTACCCAGGTGAATCCCAAGCCCCCTGTTTGCAAGCATCTCACATGTAAAGCCGCAGGAACATTTTTCTTGGGTTGTTTTTTTTTTTTTTTTTGTCCTTCAACGCCTCAAAATGCTTTACACTTTGCTCCGAGGTTCTTGCTGTGCCTTGAAAACATTCATTAAGGATGCTTCACTGGAGAAAAGGAGACCAGCCATGGCCACTTCTTGTTTCTGAATCTCATCCTCTGCTGGAGAGATCACAACTGCTTAAGACAGGACATGCCATTTTAAATGCAGGAAGAACGGAGGTCAGCAGACTGGAATGACCCCCCCAGGAGCTGCCTTGGACCCCAGCTCCAGCACGCTGCCTGTACTTGCCTCCTGATGCTTTCTGTATTCCCCTATTTCTGCTGCCCATAAAAGCAATTAAATAAGAAATCTTCTTCCTTTCCTGGGACACTGAGCTAGCATCAGGTTGCTTTCTCAGCTGTGCCTGAATTAAGGTGGGGACTTTCCTGTCCTTGGTGAACCCCATCCTCCCCCCAATGGCTGCTAAACCCCAGCTGCAGAAGCGTGTTAGTCCTTGGACTGCAGAATAAACGCACTGCTCCCCAATAAAGCATCTCCTTCAGTCCTTACCTGCTCTCCCAGGTGATGTACAGCCCCACCCTGACTATTAAAATTCCTAAAGCTGCCTGACTGATATTATACTCACCTGGAAAATTGCAATTATGGAACATGGGGAGAACCTGTAACATTACTAAGCCTGAATTAGTTAATACTGAGCCAAACATTTGACTGGAACAACCATTTCTGTATTGTCCTGGTGAATTTAGACAGACCGAAGTTTTAACATTTGACTGGAAGAAAAAGACAATTTTCAAATTCCTCTTCCTATATGACTGGACAGTGAACGAAGTAGCCTACCAGCCTGCCCAGCTTTTATGTATTTATGACTCCCCACATAGGAAAAGCCTTACAAAAACTAAAAACCCTTTATCTCATTGCTCTGCCTCCATTAAAAGATATCTATCATTAACATCTCTATTTTTAATTCTG